CTCAGTGGGCCTTGGCTCGTGATGTCCACACATACCCAATACAGTAGACTCTAGATGTTTCTCTCTAAGAGAGACTCAGGAACACTTCCCAGGGGTGGGAAGGATTTGATCGCTCCACCCTCCATTCTGCAATTTGTCTGTGCAGTTGTGAATTTCAAAACGTGCCAAGCCCCAAAGGCTTCTTTAGGGACCTTGGTTTGTAGAGTGAATGTGCTGTGGTACATTCCAGTACCTGCAAAATGTATGTCTATGAAAGACCCCCCCCCCAGAACTTCACCTAGGCAAACTTTGAACTGAAATCTCCTGTGCGGAGATTTTACTGGGACTTTCTAGATGACTCCCTGCTACGCTGAAAGGATTCCTCAGGGAACAGACTATTTCCTGTTCTGCAAGGTTTACCTCTGAGTTGGATGGCAAAAGTTTGTCAGACCTTCTTTGGGTATTGTAGGTATTTTGATAACTTTGGAAACTGCAAAAGTTAACTTTTCTTCCTCTGTTCTTGACCTAAATCCTCCAAAGGCAAAGAAAACAAAAAGGCCTTTGATGGCTTCATTAGCTCTGATAACTTAAAATGAAGTCCGCACCACTTGTTGCATATGTTAGTTCAGTAGCTTTAGAGACTGTGTTAATGATCTGTTAGAAATTTATTATTTTGTTTTCTTTTAATGTTAAGCACAGTATTCATGGAACATTACGTAGTCTTATTACATTGAACCACACTAGTTAAGATTATGAACACTGATTAACTAATTCTATTAATAATAATATTCCTGAACCATAAGGAGAAAAAATGGACTTAAATATTAAAAGGATTAACGCTGGTGGGGTAATGTTTTTGTTTTTTTAGATCCAACTCTCCTGTATTACCAAATTGTTAAATTTCAAATCCATCTGTGGTTGGTCCCTGGCCTATGCAGGTATCATTGTCACTCACTGACTGGCTAGACTTCAAAGGAAGTGTTTCCTTTATCAGCCTAATGAAAAACTGCTGACAGGTTTATGCTGCTTAAACCAATAGACCATGGTGTTCTGAAAAGATAATAGATCTCATAGGCCCATGGTCTATTGGTTTAAGTAGCATAAACCTGTCAGCAGTTTTTTGGGTTTTTTTTTTTTTTTGTCTTATTCTTCACTTCAAATTAGTACAGTCTGTTCTTTCTGATCAAACAAGGTCCAAGATAGCCGCTTGGTTGGCTAACCAGTGCCTGAGAAGTTGGAGATGCCTTTGGTGCTGGTGTGCTCCTAATAAGGCAGTGCGGCTTCTTCTGCATGAGCCCACAACAGAACCATGCTAACAATGAAGAGAAGTATTAGGTATGCAAGCCATCTCCTGAGACTAAAAAGAATGTCACTCATAATTCAGAAGAGGTTTTTCATTTAGTCAAAAAAATCATACTATTTGCATACTCATGCATGTCTGCACATATGCACACAAACGCACAAACACTACTGAGGTCTCCTCAGAGTGGCCACACTCACATAACTGGTAGAATCCAAAGAGCAGAGGGAGGTGGCTTTCCAACAAGCCAGCAGGGTCCCTGTATAGTGCATCCATTTCACCCCCTTAGGGACTTACATTCCCAACTGTCACAGAGTGAACCACCTCTTCTGTCCCAGACCCAAAAGCTGAATTCCTTGGGATTTTATTTTTATGTGTTTGTGGTGCTAGGGATCAAAACCTGGGCTTGTATGTGCTAAGTGTGTGCTTTACCATTAAGCTACATCCTCACCCTATCTTTGGTATAATTTTAGAATTTAAAACCTTAAACAGAAAGCAGAAAGATCTCCCTGTAATATGTCATGAAGGGGAAGGATGAGACACAGAGGGCTTTCAGTATGGAAGAGAAATTAAGATGCTAAGTGCCACTTCTCCCTCCCCTGTACAGTGTCTTTGGGCTGGGTCTCCATGCAAGGTAAGGCACTAGAGGCTCAAGTTACAAAGACATAGTAGTATTTAAAGGATAGGCTTCCCCCATGCAAAAAGACTGGCAAGTCAATGTATGTTTTATATTTTATGTTAAAATTTAATGCTTAGCTTTGTGTCATTTAGCATCATTATCAATCCTAATGGACTGTGGTAATAACTTGCCTCTGGTGCGTATTGAAAAAGTGTCTCATGCAATAAGGCTGAATAGTACTGGAAGGGAAAGGGGTACTCTGGACTACAGGGACTGAGGAGGGTTTCATGGCTGCGGAACTTTAAAAGTTTTATTGATTAGCTTCTGTAACTAAACCATTAGTATGGCAAATACCATTGCAGTTCGATTAGCAGATGGGTTAGAAAAAGGGAAGTCCTCATTTCACACTCACTGGGGTAACAAACAAACAAAATGATAAAAAAATGATACTTGCCAATGTTAAAACCCCTTCTTTAATCATTTAAACATGGTAAGATGTATCCAATCAAAGCTAAGTCTGGTCCTAACACTGTCTTATGTTTTTGTATTGTGCTCCATATTCAAAGAAATGCTGCTTAGCTCTTTGAAATAGAACAATTTTTAATTTTATTGTAATTTCAGTCACTGATGCAAAAAATACAGATGTGAATATGCGAGTGACCATTGGGCATCTCCGCTCTTTAATGAGCAGTGAGTTACTATATCTCGTCCAGTAATACAGAACCTGTGGAGCATTCTGTGAGTGTTTAGACACACAGTTTTTGCTGTGAACTTTAGCCTTTGTCTTTTCAAAATCATTATTTGTGTTACATTACAAAACAAAGTGAGTCTTTCCTGGGTTCTGTACCCATCAGCACGGCGATGAAAAGGTCAGCGGAAGTTACTGGAGAGCAGGAAGCTGCCCTGGCATGAGGAGAGCGGAGGACATTTGATAGCAGAAAGTACTCATTGCTCTGGGCACTGTACCTTGTGTCAGAGATGCTCCCGAGTCTCCTGTACGTAGAACAGCCCTGCTTTTTGGCCACACTGAGATAGATCACCATTCCCTTTCAAGTGGATGGGGCATGAATTCTGGGAGATGAGTGTGCATCCTGTCATGCTGTGGCTCTTAATCCCCACACCCGTGGCAGTGTATGTGACACACTCACCTGTCACTTTCAAGTGACAGTTTTGCTAAATTATTAAATTTGCTCTAATTTTCACTCAGTGCCCATGCCATCACCTAGCAGCGACAGGTGTGAGGCTGGACTCGCGGACATTTCGTTCCTCCTCGGTATAACTTCATCAAAGTAATTGTGTCACTTTTTTTTTTAATCGAGGGAATGATTGATGGACCCAGAGAATACACTTGAGTTTGTCGTTCAGCCTTTGTTTTTACCCAAGACTTTGTTTTCTCTGGTGCAGAAGTCCATCTGGTTTCCGAGGGCCAAGCAGCTCCTTGTGTGTACCTCTGTTGCCATTTCTTGCTCCTGGTGTTTATGTGGTGTGTGTCTATCAGTCTGCTCTGTTCACTTTCTCATTTGTAGAGAACACTGAAAACCACTCTGAAACACCGGCAGCTCCTGCTCTACTTCCTCCAGCTCCTCTTAAGCCTAAACCCAAACCTAAACCCAAAAAATCACCTGTGCCTCCCAAAGGGGCTACTGCTGGGCCCAGCCACAAAGGTGACGAAGTGCCTCCCATTAAAAAAAATGCCAAGGCTCCTGGTAAGCAGGTCCCCGTCCCTCTGCCCAAGCCAACAAGCCGAAACACGACCCAAGAGTCTGGTGAGTACATCCCCCAGTGCACGGTGGGGCTGAGTCCAGGGGGCTCAGCTCTGGGAGGGGCTAACTGTTCTTTGAGAAGTGGCGGATTTTGGCATCTAAAGGTGTGACACCAATGGATTCAGCTTTGACACACACAGTAGAATACTGCTCTGCTATTAACAAGGGTAGATTTGAGTCATTTGTAGGAAAATGGATGCACCTTGCGATCATAATGTTAAGTGAAATAAATCAGGAACACAAGCTTAAATGTCACATAGTTTCCCTTATATGAGAAACCCAAAGCCTAAATAAATTAAAGAGCAAAATAAAAGGTAGATAACAGGAAGGGAAGGGATCTTTTGCAAATGGGAAGAGGACCAAGAGATGAAGGGAGAGGGAGGGAAAAGACTTTAAAAGAATTAAGATATGTTATATACTCGTCCCAGCTCCCCACAATGGATATAATCACTATGTATTGCCCAAACCTATACTAATAAAAATAAAAGTTAAACAAAAGAGTACCAGGAGATTCCTTTGTAGCTGTCTACCAAGGGAAAGTCAGCCAGTTGTGTAGTTCATCTTGTTAGGGTCTGGGTAAATATGCCTCCTTCATCTTGGTGTCCACTCTTGCTTGGCACATGAGACCCAGATGAAGGGTACAGGGTCTACCATGCCTGATGAGTGGTGATGACATTATTTAGATAATGGTGGATCTTCTGCCTGCTACAGTTTATGGATGGATTTTTCATTTGGGTTTGCATTCAAAATAGATTCATATAAGAATATACGTAAGATCCTAATAAGATTACGGACATGGTGAAATGGGAAGAAAGGGGCTAAAGGTGTAGGGAAGGTGGGATGGATAGGGGAAGGGTAATAAGGGAAAAGAAAAAAATGTGAGATAAAGAAAAGATGGAAATAAAGTGCTTGTAGATGGGGAGGGGATGAGGGGGTGAAGGGCGGGCAGGATCAGGGGAAAAAATGAGAACCAAGACCTGTCATGTAGAGGTACAAGATCCCAACAATGAACGTAACTGTACTGTATTCCTAAAATGTACCAATAAACTCAATTAAAGCTGAAAAAAAAGAATATGACTTATCTCTGACATCTTTGCTGGATTATAATAGTTAAATCTTCAGCAGCCATAGTTGTCTCTTTTCTGATAAATAACCAAGGACATGGTTCAACCCCACCCTACTTCAGTCAAAACAGTGTCAGTGGGGTTAAAAGATATATGCATCCCTCTCAGTAGACTTCAGCTTGTTTTAAGGCAAAGCATCCTTGGGTGGTGTGGTTACAAATTTCTACTACAGGTCACCAATGGATGTTTGACTTTCCCATTGTTTGTAACTTCATATATTGGTCATTTAGCTTTTCCTTCCAGTTGGACATTCTTAAATGCAAAATGGCACCCTGTTCTAGTGAAGTGGGGAATGCAAATGCCTATCGTGTCTTCTAGCCTTCAAAAGGACATTAATCATGCAAAAAAAAAATTCTCCTGTACTGTAACAAGTATTATTTTCCTTAAAATCAGTAGCAACTTCCTAGCAGTTGCTTACCAGGGTTTTCCTTGGTGCTCATATTTTCTCTCCTCATAGTTCACACTCATAATACTCAAATTCAGAGAATGGTTTAGTTGACCATGTAACAGCTCTCTGAATGCAGATAGATCCTTTTCCCTGGGATCCTTTCTTTCTACCTTTGATCTTTAGGTCTGAGTCTCTCCTATTCAGTTTTAAAAGGAAATGTCTCAGAATGATGTTTCAGCAGTGCCTAGGAACCGTCCCCTACAGGACTGGCTCCTTCCTGCCTCAGTGGCCTGGCTTGTTGTCTCTGTGTGTTCCCCAGACCACCTGGCCAAGTCCAGGAGCAACAGTGGAGTGAGGCTGGCAGGAGGTCCCGAACTATTGGTCTGCCCTTGGGAATTGAGATACTGCCTTGCACAAGTGTTCCCACTTCCTCTTTCCCCACATGATAGGGGTTCACTGTGGACTTAGGTAGGACTCTCAGAAGAGGCTGGCAAAGAATGTAAGGGGAGGGGACAGCTTTCAGGACAAATCTTTGAGTTATTTCCAGATTTTTTACTTGAGTGTTTATTTATAGATGCTTCATGTCTATAAATAGAGTCTTGATGTTCCTAAGAGAATGGTAGTCATTTTGTTAATGGTGTGACCTATAAGAGGGTCAGACCTGTACACAGGTGAAAATGTGACTGTCACAGACCTGTCACAGAGGATCAGGGGTTGCATTAAAAGGTACCAAAAAGGCCATTGTGCAAAAATCCTTTTATCTAATGTGGGTAATACTTCTCAGTGCTCTACTGATGCTCCATGTGCATCCATTTAGAATTTTCTACATCCTACCTTTATGTTATTTGAATAATGTTGACCTTCTAGGAAAGTTAGTTCAAATTCTTGATTTTCAGTTAGTTGTTAAGTTCTTAAACCATAGAACCACCTGTCAGGTTAGGATACTCACCTGCTTTCCCAGAGAGTAAGAGTAAGTCTCCCTTATTTTTTTTTTTCATTCTCATTGTTATAGATTATTAACAACAGAAATTCTTAACTGAAAGGTGGCATTTTTTAAGTGAAGGTTGATTTTAGCCAAGTCATGTCATTTTGGAATATAATTAAAGAAAAATATAATATGGCTTGAATTTGTACTCCAGGCATTGAAAAAAAAATTACCCTTTGCCTTAAGACAGCCTAAAGTTAAACTTTTCTGTTAGAAATGAAAGAATTTTCTTTAAACATTATTAAAATTCATATGTTGAATATTTAACTTACCTAAGGAAAAAAATTGACTCAGTCCTTAGCATCTTTATTGCAAAAAAAAGTAGATTTAGAAAGAATTGAAATTGAAAGAGGCCTCCCTTAATGAATGTGACTTGTATGCAAGTAAAGGCTGTTAACTATAAAGAGATTGGATTAGCAGGATTCTAGCTACTTTGTATATCTAAATAATAAAGATTCCAAAACTAGACACTCCCATTAAGCCTGGATCTTGGCACTAACTGATATCAGCTTCTTCTACATATGGAATTCATGAAGTCTGGCATCTCATTGTCTAGTTTTTGTATCTGTTCATCTCTCAACTCTCCTAATTGACCTAGTAAGGTTGTACTGAGAGGTAAGTTACTGTAACATCTGTATGCAGTGCAGGTGGGTTCCACAATACTAACAAGGTATTTTTCTAATAATCTGAAAGATAGTTTAAGCCTCCCACCCCTGTGAAAAGAAGGAATATTCAGCATTATAAGGGAAGAAGCAACTCAGAGAAGTTATAGCACATAAAGACCATGAAACAATGGAGTATTCTCATAGGAGTTTGAGTATGTGTCCTAAGATGACAAAAAGAAGAGGATAGTTAACTTTGTGCTCCTGAAAATATTTGGTTGCATCCAGCCCTGTCTGTCAGTAGGAAAGTACCCCATGACAGTCCCCTGGAGATCATATAAGTAGTAAGGAAAATGAGACTTGCAAAGGTGAAGTTAGAAGTTCTTTCCTTTGAATCATTCAGACATCACCGATGTAAATATTTTTGAAATAAAAACAATTTCCCTGCCTTTTGACCTTTAGAAGGGGGTTTGCTTCTATGCAGAAATGTGTTCTCTTCTGCAGTGAAAGGATGTATAGGTGGCAGGTGGGCTTCTTTCCCTGGAGTTCTGGGAACAGCTGATGGATTTGACTCTTAGCAGTGGGATGCTTTTGACCCAGAAGGCTTCTTGTAAATAAGAGCCACCACTCCATTCCCAGAAATACATCCTAGAACACATAAAATTTCTGAAGAGCCCAATCATGTACTATACCTGGATCATTGCTGACGATGTCTTCTCCACACTAATATCTCTAGAGCCTACAAGAGCCTTTTCAGGTGACCTGCAGGACACAGAGCTGAGGATTTCCCTCTAATTGGTCCAGCCAAAGAAGAGATGAAGAAGACAATAATGGACCCTTGTCCCTTAGTTTGGGCCCTTGTGTCACTTTCTCCCTCCTGGATTAGAAGCAAGGAAGGCGCAGAAAATAAGATTATCATCACTATTAGCCACTTTTCTTTCATTTATGTATCCAACAAATTTTAAAGAGCATTTTAAATGTCACTGCCGATTGCAGCGTGATTATTTTAAAAGCATTATATTCTTCAGTTTTTAATGCAAAATCTCTCTATTTTTAGCTGGTTCTTCTCATTCAAAAAAACCAACCGGCTCCAAAGCATCTGCTTCACCATCGACTTCATCCACCTCTTCGCGTCCCAAAGGTTCAAAAGAGACAGTTGCTAGCAAAACAGGGACGATGGGGACCACAAAGGGTAAGAAAAAAACTGGCAAGCAGGCAGCAACTTCTCGGCTATCCGCGGACACCATGACCGCCGCTGCATCTGGTCTCAAAGGAGACTCTTCAGAGGCCAGAGCGGAGAGTCTCCAGGCAGAGCAGACTGTCCCCGGGGCCGAGGAGCAGAGCACGGGCAAAGCCAAGCCCAGCGACCCTCCACCCGCTGTGACCATCCCACCTTCCCTCCCTGCCCCACCTCTGCTCCTTGAGGATCAGTGCATTGTTGCCCTGGACACTCCCGTGGTTCTGGTCAGCAATGGAGCTGACCTGTCTGTCTCTGCCTTAGACCCAAGTCAGCTCCTCTGGACGGAAGAGCCAACCAGCAGAGCCACTCTCCACTCAGGCGCCGGCTTAAGTGTTAGCAGAGAAAATGCTAAATGGTGAGTCGGGGCCCAGACCCCATAGTCTCATCAGAGTTCTGAAGCTCGCTGGAATATCGTGTTAGACCGAAGGAACCCAGTTAGCGCTCCTTTATCGCGCAATCTGCACATATACTGGAGTCCAGCCACTCACTGGCTTTGCTTAGTACTGTCCTGGGAATGCCGTGGGCTGTGGAGGAATAATGCTGACAGGTGCCACTTCAGATCTGTGATTTCCAAGGACACACAGAGTCCATGTCAGCACAGCTTGGCAGTCTTTTTCTTATCCCTAGACAGTTTGCTTCTCTTCTCTTGTAGAACTTATTTTAAACCCACTTGAGTCCAGATTGCTCACCCACTCCCACCCACCTTCATTTCAGTGTGTTAACTTTTATGCTTCAAGAAATGTAAGACCTTCAGGAAAATTTTTTTTTAATTCCAACTCCTTTTCATCCAACTACAGAGTGTCCCCCTTTATGGCTCCCTTAGTTCTGCACCAGCTAAAATTTCATCTCCGTGAAGCCTTCCAAGGCTCCTAGACAGAATTGACTATTGCATCTATGATACTCAGAAAACCTCTTTCTTCCTGTGTGTGAGCAGAACTAACCAACACGTCTCCCTTACGTCTGTGTCCCCAGCAGCCGAGTAGATGTCTAGGGTGCTGTACGGGCACTCAGGGAAGGTGCATTATGTTCAATAAAAATGAAAAAGTGATCTGAGGAGGTTGTAGGGAAAGTCAGCCTAATCCAGTGTGGTGGAATCAGTGTTGAGGATGACCCTGATGGTAGATTTCTTTTTATGAATAGGTGATAACAAAAGATGAAAGACCGTGGTCAAATAGTCTCAGTTTTGTTGAAGAAGGTATACAGTTAGCTCAGTGGTTCCACCACCTGCGTTGCAAGTGCAAGGTCCTGAGTTCAATCCCCAGTACCAAAACAAAGCAGGTATACAAACAGTATAGACCAAGGAACTTGATGTTCCCTTGGGCGAATGGCCCCACGATCTGCTTGCTCAGTCCAAAATCCCAGAGTTCATTTTTCAGTCCTCATTCTCCTTCATTCCCTATGTCAGATCACTTACAAAGTCCTGCAAATACTCTGCTCAGAGGCAGGTGAGCCCTCCTGTCCCACAAGGATGAAGGGCGGGTTCTTAGAGTAAAGTAGAATTCTGACTGGGAAAAGCTGTCAACTCTTAAATCCAGCTTCTTCTCTCCTTATTCTGAAAATAAAACCTATGTTTGATCTTCGAATGTTTTCATAGGCTCGCTCTCAAAATTTGTGTCATGTTAGAATTTTTTTAAAGTACATTAATTAGGTTAATTTTGACCAAGACACTAAAATATTAACTTTAAATTGCTGATAATTCATTTATTGGGTCCTTGATGTCAGGAACTAAGCACTGTGCATTTGCTATCATTTAATTTAGATAAATCATCCCTGAAGTATCCCAGTTTTATAGATAAGAAAACAGATACTGAGAGAGGTAAAATAGTTTTTGCCCAGTTAATGTTGGCAAAGTTAACATTGCCAGGATTACCCAGTTACCTCTGGCAGAGCTGAATGGAAACCTAGCACTATACAAGGAATTCCAGACTTTGAATAATTTCATAAGTTTTCCAAAAAAGAGTTTGCTTGTCCTTTTATTTTTACTGTTATTTCTTTTCTAAGAGTTTATTTTAAAAATTTTGAGCAGTGTCATTTGAAGGCAAGCCGAGGAAAGTTAAATAAATGCCAGTTACTTATCATCATTCAGTGTGCTAAAGAACAACGTACAACATGTAAAATGCTTCCTTAGATTGTCTTAAGCATGCAGAGAGCCCATATCCAAAGGTGACCTATCTCTGCCCAGTATGTTTCCCCACCCCTAAGAGAGTGCACTGTATGGTGCTAAGCACCGCACTGCATGCTGGGTGCCTAACAGCCATCTTCAGTCTGAGTGAGTGAAGAATCATCAGACAAAGGGAGAGAGTCAATTTTCCATTTCTACCAACAGTATAATCAGAGGAAGCAAGCGTAGGACACTTGGAGATATTCAGGATATTTCTAATAGATTTTCCTAACAGTCAGGGTAACTTCAATGCTTTCCTAGAAATCAGAGAGATGTTCTTCTCTGTATATTCTTCAGAATTAAAATTTTAAATTATAATTCATTCTACTGGGGTGGTTAGTGCTTGCTCCTATAAGAAAGAACAAATTATTTCTTCCTTTTCAAATGAATATTTGAACTAGAATTTTGGGCTCTTAGTTGCTTGCTTTACTTAGAACTCTCCGTGAGTTATATTTAGTCACCTAAAGTGTGAAAATCCTGTCATTTTATAAAGAGTCTTCTGTTTGTAATATAAATATCAAAACTTTAAAGAGGGCAAGTGACTGTGTATAAAAATATCTACCTCTGTTCCCATTCCCATATTATAGGGTGCTAAGTACTTGGGAGTTTTCTATTTGTTGGCACCTCACATATCATGTGAGGCTGAAACTAATCAGCCCATTTTGAGGCCATATCCACAGGTAACTCATTAAATCCATTTCACAAGTGTCTATGAAATGCACTGTTATTCAGTCTGCTCGGGAACTCTGGGATGAAAAATGAGGGCAAAAGCATGAGTTAGCTCATACAAATTTGGAATATATTTAATGTTGTGTATAACATTCATAAAATTTATAAGTATAAAAGAAACTGTAACATTTGGTAAGTAGACTAAAAGTCTTCAGTCTGGGCTGTAGCCTGGAGTTGCTGCCTTGGTTGGGCACCTCATTAATGGTCTTCATTGGATCCATGAGGTATAAAGCACCTGACCTTCTTACTGCATAGTACATGTGCAGGTTGAGCTCTTAGCAAACTGTAAAATGTTATAAAATAGAAATGGCGAGATTATAATCCATCAGTATCATAAGAAATTTGTGAAGAGTGACACTAACAAATAACAAGCCTCAGATCCGAGGTATCTTTTGTTCTGCTGTTTCCGGAAGTTGATTATTGATTGGCATGTGCTTCAGAGGCGCTGTAGGGCCGGAGATTTAGCTCAGTGGTTCCACCATCTTGACCCGAGTTCGATCCCCAGTACCAAAAAAAATAAAACATGCTATGGTCACCCAGGGTGACAGTCTTTTCCAACAAGAGTGGTTTCCAGTGGCAAGCAACTAAAAATCCAAACTGTGGAAAAGTTTTCCAATAAAAATAAGTCTTCTCTTCTTTAAGATAAGATTTTCCCCTTTAAAAGATAATATAGTGGTTTCTCAAAATATTAGACATAGAATCGCACCATATGAATCTGCAGCTCCCATTCAGCATATACAACCAGAAAATTGAAAGGCAGGAACTGGATTAATATACCAGTGTTCATAACATTATTTTTAATAGCCAAAAGGTGGAAATAACCCAAATTTCCACTGACAGATGAATGGATAGGCAAAACTATGCAGTCTAGGCTGACCTCAAACTCACAGCGATCCTCCTGCCTCAGTCTCCCAAGTGCTGGGACTACTGGCATGCACTACCACATCTCCCTGATGTGAAAGATTTTTTATGTCAAGAATACTTTTTATCCTAACCTTTGGATGTTTTTAAGCTTTGCATATTAGAATAACTCCTTAAGCCAGAGACCCTTACCTAGGTAAGTAATAGAAAATCCCTGTGTCCCTGTACATCACTTTTCTTCCAAAGAGCTTATTTAACTTTTACACTTCCCATTTCATGTTAGTAGTGTAATCCAGTCAGAAGCAGTTACATGAATGAAAAAACAAAAGCACAGAAAGGATGAATGACATTGGGAGGGAAATGAGATTTCTACACATTTTAATGACAGGCGATGCCCTCCTCTATGCCACTACCCTCCCGGGTGCTGGGATGCGGAACAGTAGGGGTCGCACTTGCTGAGGGCCCTGTGGGGCTCAAGATGGCCGACTAGTGAGGGGCGCTCAAGGTGCAGAGAGTGGAGAACTCCAAAGGTGTGGTCTTTGGGTCACCTTGGGAACAGGCAGTCTGGGTAAGGAACTCACCGAAGGCTCAGGAAAGATTTCTGAAGGAGCTGAGGCTTTAACAGACTTGAAGGGCAAACAAAAAGGGCCGACCAAGTCAGCTATCCAGAAGCTAGTCCATTCCTTTCCCCACACCTCTTTGCCATGAACAAATAAATTTGCAAAAGAGTTTTACCATGTCCATTTACGAGTATATTAGATATCACCCATGCAGCTTTTTGTGTTACAGAGGAAAAATATAAAACCTCAGGAATGAAGTCCCACAGCACAGCATTTGCACTTCAGTGACAGTAGTTTGGTTTCTCCTTTCCCAGCCAGAAGGGTGCCTATGGCACTGAGATTCTTTTGTGGTGTTGGTGTCCTCGAGGATTGCTCTGAGCCTTACGTCCACCCTGTGTTCTTCTTCCCTTAACAGTTTTATAACCAAAGACGAGCTGGAGAAGGCAGCCTCTCAGCTGCTGACCCCAGGCCTGATGGGAGAATCTTCAGAGTCCCTCAGTGCCCCAGAGGACGAAGGAACCAGGGAGTACCAGGCCAACGACTCTGACTCAGATGGGCCCATCTTGTACACTGACGATGACGAGGAAGAAGACGAGGATGAGGACGGCGGTGGAGAAAGTAAGAGTCCTCTGGGGAATTGCAGTGGTGGAAAGAAGCAGCTGTGAGTTATAAAAGCAAGATCCTCGTCAGCATCCTGCAGTTTTCTTCCCCTCGTCTTTTTTTCTCAAATGGGAAATGTGGCCGTCCCAAAGTTGAACTGGCAAGGACAGGCCTTTCCGGAAGATGAGGCTGCAGGAGTGGGGCAGGCCTTCGAGGAGGAAGTAGATGTGCAGATTTGTGTTGCACAGAGAATGAAAGCTTTCTAATGAGAGTGGCCAGCCTCTCTCAGAAAGAGCATTAAGCAGGAGGCATGGACTTTGCTCAGCACAGTGTTAGAGAACTGCACTCACATTTTTACCACAGTTTAAAGACAGAAGAGAGGAATATTTAGGAATGACGAATACCTTTTTATTTTTTTAATTTTTAAAATGTTTTATTAGTACGTGTTTGCAGTACATAATGATTGCTTTCATCGTGGAATATTGGTACATGTACAGAACACATCTCAATCTGTTTTTCCCCCTTCATTTATCCACCTTTTTTTGTTTGTTTGTTTTTTGTACCAGGGATGGAACTCAGGACCTTGCTCTTGAGAAGCAGGTGTGGCACCACTGAGCTAAATCCCCAGTCCTTCTCTTTTATTTATTTTTTTCCAGCATCACATTCATTTCTTTGTCTTGTAAGACCTTATAAAGTTAATTATCATACGTACAGATTAACAGGTCAAAAAACATATAAAGCACATAATACAGTTATACTAAGTTAAGGTACACTTTTAGATACTTTGTCTCTTTTTTGCTATTGTCTGTCTTTTATTTTTAACTTTATTTATATGTTGAGTTTCTCATATAAGAGAAACCACAATATTGAAGTTGTGGGTCTGATTTACTTCACTTAACATTATGCATCTCAAGGTGCATCCATTTTTCTACAAATGACTCATTTATTTTTATAGCAGAGTAGTACTCTTATGTATAATACCGCGCTGTGTTTTCTTTATCTTCTCATCTGTTGATGGACATATAGGCTGCTTCCAAGATTTCCTGTTATGAATTGTGCAGCACAGTTCATGGGTGAGCATATATCCCTGTGGTATGAGGTCTTTAACTCTTTGGGGAAGGTACCTAGAAGGGGAATAGCTGGGTCAAATGGAACCTCTAGTTGTAGTTTTTTGAAGACTCTCCTTACTTAATTCCCACAGCTGTTGTACCAGTTTACATTCCACCAACAATGAAGGATTCCTTTTCTCCCACAGCCCCTTCAGCACTTCAGCATTTGTTATTGGTTGATTCACTGATGATAGGCATTCTTTTTGGCGTGAGAGGGAATCTCAGTTGACAGGCAGCTTTTTAAGATTGAAAACAATCACTCATCCACAGAAGGTAGGACAGTATACCTCCTAGGAAGGAACGGTATTAAAGTGGAGTGGAGTTCACCTTCTGTGTGTAACTGAGAGAATTAGAATGTACCATCACATTTTAAAACCTTTGAGCAGAATGACTTGGGAGGGATTTATATATTGTGGAAAGATATTACTGGGTAATGATGAAACAGAAGTTTGTCAAATTGCCTCTAACTTATACAGAGCCAAAATAAATAAATGACTATCATCTATTTGGAGAGTTTTTGTTTTGTTTTGGTAGTGGTGGGAGTCGAACCCAGAACCTCATGCAGGCTAGGAAAGTATGCTACCATAGAGCTACATCCCAGCCCCTGGGAAGATATTTTAAAGACTCCTGAGTAACGGGTTAAATTTGAGTAGAATTGGTAGACTGTTTGCCAACAGGATGTTGAAGTAGAGGAAAGGAAAAGACAAGGATTAACTGTACAGGATAAGGAAAGGGAATAACTTTTTCAAACTTGAAAAAAGGAAAGAAAAGCCATTGTGACATCAGTAATTTCCACAAAGTACTATCTCAGGAAAATAAACTTCAACTGTCTCTTTCCAAATGTTGAGGTGATACTTTGAAGTTTTTATGTGTTGTTCCATTGTTTTTCAGAACACTTGAAAAATAGTTCATTTTTTTTTCAAAATACATCCAACTCACAATCTCTGTTCCCTTAGATCAGTTAAGATTCTCCTCTTGCTTGTGGATAAAGGGTTCCGGCTGTGTCCTGTTTAAAATCCATGCTAGGAGGAACATGAATGCTGTTTGCCAAAAGGTGCTTTATCTGCATTTCTGCCTTTTTTAATCCTCAGGTGCTTTGGCAAGTAAAATACGACGAAGGGATACTCTTGCTATCAAACTTGGCAACAGACCATCGAAGAAAGAGTTAGAGGACAAAAACATCTTGCAGCGAACATCTGAAGAAGAGAGGCAAGAAATCCGACAGCAAATTGGAACCAAGCTGGTCAGGTAACTGCTGGCACTTAGGGCAGCGCTTACTAGTTCATACTTGTCTTTCTCCCAGGTTTCCTTCCAAGCTGGGATCATTGTGGATTCCTTGTGTTCGGGTGCGCTTGGTCCATCAGGCCTTTTAAAGTGGGTCTTGGATGGTGAACCACTCACAGACCCTTCCCTTTGGTCAGCTGGCCTGGTGGCTTGCAGGTCACTAAACCTGCATCATTATGGGGATCAACAGTTTTAAAACAAAGATCCAATTTGGCCATTTCCAGCTTTGCTGGGCCAGTCTCTGTTGCAGCTACTTAACTGAGCTATTACAGGAATACGAAAGCAGACATAAATAATACATAAACAGATGAACATGGCTGTGTTCCAATAAAACTTTATTGACTATAAAAGGTGGCACACAAGATTTGGCACACAGACCAGAAGATTGGTTGGCCAGTCCGTGGCCTAATCCTGTGAATGCCGTGAGCATCTGCCTGTGGGCTGTGAGCCTCAGTGACCTGACTGCATCCAAGACAGGCAGCCACAGCCCCTAGCAAAACCTCCCACTTTTAACTTGAAGCCAGTGGATTATTTGACATCTCCTCCTATTGTGTAATTGCTGCTTTTGCCACACGTGACCTTAGAAGTCCATTTCATGAGCAGTTTGATAGAAGTGAGCATTCCCACCAGAGCTCTCACTTTTGATGGTCAGTTTAAGCACATATAAGCACTGTCAGTCTGCTGACTTCTCTCACTCTGTGTGTGTGTGTGTGTGTGTGTGTGTGTGTG